TGACATCATCCTCGAATAAAAATACAGAGATGCTTCGAGATCGCAAAATTAATTGCAAATCAAAACGTTTGTAATGCAAGAGTTGTTTGTCCATATAGAAATATCTTTTCGCGATGTGTAACTATGTGACATTTCCCTAACGAGAATGAAAACGAGGTGGTTGTTTCAAAAAAGAAATGAAAAATACGAATTCAAAAGTGAAATTCTATATAACACGACAAGCAGAAGAAAATGTTGTTCCTTATTTGCCTACGGTTGACGAAAAGGCGGGAAAAATCGGCCATGATGCTTGGCGTTAGTAACGCCATCAGTTGCTAGTGATGCCAACGCACATAGTCCTGGTTATAACGGCTGATCTTCCTATTGTGCGTATTTGCCTTTCTTTCTCTGTCTTTCTCTCTTTTGTTTTGCGAATGCTTTCTTCTTTCACATTATATTCTCACTCACCTCAGCAGTGAGGTATTCCAAGATAGCTGCACTGTATACCGCTGCTGTTGCACCGACTCGACCATGACTTGTGGTTCTGTTTTTCAAATGCCTGTGAATTCTTCCAACCGGAAACTGAAACGAAATCAAACGTACGATGTCTGATATAGGTAAAAAAAAAAAAAAAATAGAAAGAAGAAATTATTACATAGAAAGGTAATTCTGCCTTCGTGGCAAGGTAAATATTTTTGGGTTAGGACGCATCGTACGTAATGTCTGTTCAAATAACATGAGGTCATTCGGCGTCAGCAGCTTTTCGTATAACGAATATCGAACGACGAGCAATGACACAATTTTCCATAATATCGTACGTTTCTAGCACTTTCCCGGCAATAATTCCTTACATAGCAACACTATATCTGATTCTTCTAGAGGAAAAGCCATCATTGACACTACAGAACAGCACGCATAATTCAATCCTCTTTTTAACGTAACGAATATCGAGCGGTATACGATGATTCGGCTTTCCCGAGCTTTCCAGTTTAGCATGTAGTTTCGTCATTTCACTGGCAAACGTAGCCGTGTATTTTACATATTTACATTCGCAATAATAACAACGATGATGATAATAATGATAAATTTTCTCGCGTTTGAAATTACAACTTATTCAAGGAGAACGTTCAATGAATTTCATGAATAAAATATATTACATTATTTTACGAGATAATACGTTCAATGTCTGTTTAATGCTTCTATTTATTTATACGTTTATGTGTTTATTATCATTATTTGCAGTTTCATACAACACGAGATAAAATTTTCCAAATTGTTTGAATTGTCAGATTTTTATAATTGGACAAGTAAAAGTAGGCTGTTCTGTAATATAAATATCACCTATCGGATAAATTTGAACAATCGACAAGCATAATTGTATATAAAAATAATAACGTGAGATTAACTTTTATCTGCCGACAATTGAAATTATCTTGACAGATTTAATGTAATATAATTAAACTGTGAACATTAACCAAGATACGCCGTTAAACGATCATTTTGAAGTTACAGAAATAAATTATTTTTCAATAAAAATCGTATTTGTGGAGAAAGAGATGAGAGGAGGGGGCGTAGTACACAGAACTAAACTGAACCGTCTCGTTTGAAAACTTCCGAACTTGGAGGTAATCACCATAACTTCAATTCAAAAAATAATGGGCTTTCGTCGAGTTTTCCACCGTTATTCGACACAACACGCATAAAACGATGTCGAATGAATCACTTTCGCGCATCTTGCACGCACGGAGATCGCAAGAACGTGAAAAAAATGAATTGTTCATTAGATGTCTAAAAACGCTTCGGTTTTTCGCGCCAACCATGACGATTTAATCTGTTTACCCTTAAAATCTACATAAAATAACCGTGGGAACGCCCGTTATCAGGGAACGATGTTGACGAAACTACATTCTACGCATTTGAATTAGTCGAGCAGTAGACAACAAACTCACCTGCAAGCCAGCCCTCGCCGAACGAGAGACCGCCTTCGCCTTTGCTTTACCCGAATCCTTACCCGCCTTCCCACCAGCCTGTTCAGAAACAAAAATCACGGTTAATTTGCAAGATACAGCCACAAAACTTCGCCAGACGGCAGCGTGAACATCATAGAATACAGCGGTGCGATTAGAATGCACGGATGGCTAAGGGATCCGCTGAAAACTCGCGGATACTCACCATTATCCAACAAGAGGCTTTGCGATTCACTATGGAGAAACTTGCCAGAAGCACGGACGACGCCGTCTAAGCGCGGTCCCGCCAAATACGCTTGGCGCTGTCGGCACGTCCTGCAATCGTCCCACGTGACTGGAACACACCAATTACAGCGGCTGAATGAAATGCCTGTTCGCCATCTGTTGGCCCCCACTCGTTATTACTCTTCGTCGGGAGAGCAACATTCCTATCTGGTATATCACTTGAACATTGCATCGCATACACTGGGTAATTTTCCATACTGTCTGAGAGCTACACTGCGTTATTATTCACGTCGGCCACTTACCGTTTATTTCTAACTTATTATTAAACACACTCTCCAAAGCTCTCTTTGAATTTTAGACCTAACTATTCTTAATTTCAATCTCGTATGTTTTCCCACGTACGTCTTTGTTATAAACGTTTGGACACACGAACGCTTTGATATTCAAATTTCATTCATGCAACAGCATTTTTTTCTTTCTTTTTCTTTTTCTTTTTTTTTTCCTTTTTTTTTCTCTCTCTTTTTGCGACACCGTAAAGGAAACGTAATTGCATAGTTAATAATAAATGTAAGGTTAATAAGCGAATGAAAGGACAAATTTTTTTTTTCTTTTCGCATGACAATTTCCTCGCGTCTATATTGTCTCGTCAGTGAATTGTATTATATCTTTTAATACGGTATTAATACGATTTACGTGTATTTCGCGGGGAATATATCGTTTTTGAAACTTTAAATACATTCTTTGAATATAATGTGAAACGTGAATAATAATTGTAAAATGTGACACGTGAGTAATAATAATTTTAAAATGCATTTACGTAACATCTGGCGTAAAAAAAGCGATTATCTCTCGCCTAGAAAGTATGAAATGCTAATGACGCGGCATCGATGAATTTTCGAAACAAGTACAACTGACGAACTTAAAGTGTTATTAATCTGATTCGATTTATTCTCATACGTTGTCACGTGTATGACAAAATAAAATGACACTGTATGAAAAATCGAAATCTCAAATCGAAACGAGTTTAATAAACGTGTGCAACATATATTCATACTTTTATAATTAAATTACCGAAAGCATCGTACGAACGTGTTGTCGAGCACACAATCGAATAGAATAGAATAAAAGCATGACGAAGGAATTTCTATGCAAACACATAATGTAAAACAACATCGATGCTTCGATCTTGGCACAGGAATGAAATTATTCCTGAAAAAAAAAAAAAAAAAAAAAAAAAAAGAAAAAAAGAATAAAGATAATGAACATGTTTTTCCTCTTTGATCTTAATAGCTGACACCGTGAAGTATAATATAACAGTGGATTAGCATTGCGCAGACGAAAGAAACTGTATCACTCTTTATTGATAGAAAGGCAGTCACATAATAAATTTATACAAAAAGTATGTATGTATGTGTGTGTATATGTGTATGCGTGTATATATAGAAAATACGTACGTTGTTGCTACGAGGATAATATATCAAGATTATACTACAGGGAGAGGAAACGAGCAGGTGTATCGCGTGTCTATTTGAACCATCATGTGACAATAAACGGTTCTCAGGCTTTTAAAAAGTTATTATGGAAATATCGCGAATAGTCCCTAACGTACACATCTCTATATTATTAGAGAGCACTGTCTAAAACTGCGGTTGGCACGACCCATCACGGATGGGTTGCAATATCGACGAGTCTCTGCGCAGACATGCGCATTGGCCAAGTGCAACGGTTTACTTGCAACTTTTCCCGCCATTTTTCTCGTTCCTCGCCCTTTCATTGGTACTGCACGCCGTTTGTTTACTCTCCTTTTTTGTCCCTTCCGTTCATTTCCGTCTGAACCACTGCTGCTCATCATTCGAACTTGCCGCAGCTATTATTGGTCCGAGTTCTTCGTTTCGGCCAACTCGTCGCACTTATCCTCCAAATCCTCCTACAATTCGAATCAATATCATTTCAACTACACGTTCAACTCGTAACAGAGCTCGAGATATTTAAACAGACAGGCAGAGCAAACGATATTATTATTTCACGGAGTTTAGCAAGCAATTTACAATGATAATTTCAAATGATAATTTAGTTCGTCCAAGATACGTTGATATATACTTGTTTCAATTAAACCGGCAACTGAGTTATTATTATTTCGATTTTCACTTCTATGATTTGATCCTGCTGCTGCTGCTGCT